ACTTGGTACAGATTTGCCATTGACAGAGCCACGACTGTCCACTGATTGTACACTATCGTTGAACGAGGCTTTTTCTGAGGTTCTCGAGAATTCTTCGGATAAGTTGTCTTTCCGACCGTCTGCAGACCTTTCTTCGAAATTCTCTTCAAAGTTTTCCTTTGGGTTCTCACCAGAGTCTTCCACCAAGCTTTCTTCTGATCCTGATGTAGACTGGAAAAGGAAACAGGGAAAAGTTTTGTTTTTTTCATTAGCGGTGAAAAAAAAAGACTACATTTTGAAAGGGTCCATGCTTATTTCCGATTTTCGTTACATGAAGCAACTAGAATTATTTTTACCCGCACCCCCATAGGGATGCTAGCCAATGGAGGGGTTACTCCTTACATTAAATTCGCTGGTACCTATTTATACACCTTGGTGAAGAGGGCAATGCGAGAGTAAAGCGTCTTGCGCAAGAACACGGGGACCAAGCCTCTACCGACCCTGATCGCTCGATCCGGATTTTAACGGGCTAACCATGATTATGCCACCGCGCCTCTATGGTATCTAAACAGTTACATTGCCTCAAGTAGTTAGAAGGCACAAAACCAGTGAAGAGAATTTGTGTTTTGATCAAGCCACGTACCATTTCTTCCTCGTTATCATCGTTATAATCTTCACTATGTTCTTCACTGCCTTCGTCAACGGTAGAATCTTGCTCGCTGAGGACTTTGTCCAACTCCTCTTCCAATTTCCAAAAAGGAAACAAAATCATGATCCCAAGTTCATACTGAAATTTCGTCGTTAGATTGTCCACGTCTATTTCAGCGTCAACCAAATCTTCGCGAAGTCGCGATATTTCAGCGGCAACTCGATCTTTCTCTTCTCTCAGGGATGGAACCATCTCGGCGTCAGCTTTGATCTCCACGATCTCCGCTCGCTTCTTGCTGACGATATCGTTTAACTTCTTAATTTCTTGACTAAGCGGTTTGGAGAATTTCTCCGATGTTTCATCCAGGGCGTACCATTCATTGTAGAGATTCGCCGTGCTTTGTTGCATCGAGCTCAGCTGGGCCCTGGCGTCTGAAATCCGTTTCATGAGCAAGCTGTTTCTTCGTTTTTGTTCCTCAATTTCCTCGTCTAGAGTTACGTTTTCTGAAGTTAAACTCTGAATTTTGGCAACAACCACGCTTTTTCCCTGTGTTAAATGGAACAAGAAAGAAGGTTCAAGCTTGATATACCGTATTGATTAGCTAAAATGTTCACTAGCGTCACAACATAAAAAGTTAAACTGATTAAGAATCTAATGTGGGACATTTTGCCTATAAGTGACTTAATTATGAAACACTATTGAAACGGTGACAATGTTCAAATGCCATAATAAGCAACCAAAGTGTAGCTGGAGAAATCATAATTGATTCTTGACTTAGATACCTTATAGTCAGCTGATACTGGCACTCCAAGTTTCCCCCATTGTTATTTTATGTTTGCTTTTAAAACGTTGGGCCGCTTTAATCATATTAAGGATGTTGGGATGTCACCGAGTTCATTTTCGATATATAGGGGGTATCGAAGATCATGGGTTTTTAGAAGCTTTCGTTATTTTAAGACGACACCAGTTAGCTTACAACTAGCAGCAATAGAAGTAGGTACATTAGTGAAATATAGATCTGTTAAAAGTACTCAATTCAACACAACTAGGTTTATTAAGTAAATTGTTGCAGCTGATGTCGTTCCTTGAGGTAGAGAGACTGTTAAACGTTGATAGTGCACTTTGTTTCATTAAAATTTTGATTTATTGTCTTACCTCAGGGTTTGGATCCGTGTATTGTGGCTGCGCCGTACAAAATGCCTGCTCATCGCTGGGTGCCTGATCCCACAATACTGTGTCATCAGAGGCGGCCCCAAATGAAGACTTCATTTGGTTGCCGTTTGAATCACTCCAAGCCTCGTATGGAAACTGAGGCTGAGGTGCAAACAGATGACCGCCGGATGGTTGTTGCATGTACTGGTCAGTGGCGTAGTTGTGCGGCTGTTGCGCATGCTCGCCAGGACTCCCGAAGAGCTGATATGAAGATGTGTAATTTACTTGCGACAGCTCTGAAGGCTCGTTGTCGATGACAAACGAGTCGGCCCACATGACTGAATGAAATACGGGTGAAAATGCGAATCAAGATGGATCGAGAAAATACATTTCCAATAAATCATGTTTAAAGGAGCTCAGTCACGGTGTTTTGTCTTTTTTGGGGCCACATACAAAATCTCCTTCAAATGGAAGGAAACCTGAAAATAATAGTTTACTAAAATAGAAAAACATCAAAGAGATAATAATAAACCATAAAGGAACAAGGATGGTCAAAGATTGCGAAGATTGACACGGATTACAAACGACGAATTTGAAAAATTTAGGCTAAACTTTTCAAAATGCGCACACCGTGACTGAGCTCCTTTAAGATAGATCTTAAGCTTTATTTCTACTGTTAGCCCTACCGCTCTCCACACTAATCCTTCACGAAAACGGAGCTTTTCGAGAACGCTCTTCAAACCGGAGGAAATTTGAAGACCATTGTAAAGCCGGCTTTGCGTCTCAGTGTGAACAGAACGGCATATCGAAAACGGAGCTTTTCGAAAACGATAACAACTCTATAATCATGTGTTTTCACTATAAGCATGTGTGTTTTTGGTCGAGTTTTCGTCAAACACAAATCCAAAATGATCGGTAATGTCTATATTTTTGGTTCGAAAAAGAAAAGCAGTAGCTTCACATAATCACTTAATTATATTACTATCCCATACAACATCGACAAGTTTCACTTACTTGGTTTAGACGTCGCAGTTTATGCTCAATATCGATGTTTTTACACCGTTACTGTAGTCTCGTTATTTTCCTTTAGAGTTCGTAGCTAAAATAATTCAGCTATATCTTCCTGATTRAAAAATTCCCAAAACAAATCTTTTCCGCAAAGCCAAATTGGATACTCTGTGCGCTCACGAAGAGAAACCTTTACACAACAACTGAGCGATTCGATTGTTTATAAACTGTTCTTTTTCGTCGTCATGGTTGCACACGTTTGTAACGTCAGAGCGCGCGCACCTCGAGTAACTTTGACCCGCGCGCTGGTTTTAGCAATAGATTTCTGCTAATTTTTTTCTCAGTTATCGAGTATATTGTTCTCATTGAAATTATGAAATAAAAAGTGGGGGTCACTGTGCTCGTTTAAGAGAAAATGAGCATTTATTTCTCTATCGAGTTTAGTTTGAGGGAAATATCTTACGTTTTGCACACGCACGCGCTCATGTGCGCGCGCTAATGACGCGAAAATCGTGCCCAGTAGGGATGCGCAATGTAATACTGTAAAGGAATTACGTTAAGCTTGGAAACAAGTAAATTCTACAATAAAAGACACATACTGATGGAGTTGAGTAGTTTAAGTGTAGTCGTTATTATTTTAAGCGCGAAAAGCTTGAAAAATAAAAAAAATGTTTCATTCTAAAACTGATTACCGAAAAAGAACCGCCTGATCGCAGATTAAAAAATAATCGGTGTTAAAAATTTAGCTAAAGATGGAGAATTTCGAGAGCAATTGTTTGAAATTATAATGGCGTAATATATTTCATAGTGTACCAGAAACTTATCGTAAGGAAACAAATGGAAACAAGAAAGAAAATAAAGACATTAAACACACTTACTTGCCTGTTTGTCGTTTCATCGACCATCCTAACAGCCATCGCAGACCAAACACGCAATTTCTTTATCTAAACGTTTCTTCATCTTGCATCGTAGACGTTTGCAGCGTAGTCCAAATTGAAGGAAAAGTTCAATTCAGCACCATGGCGAAACATTGCTTTCCATCCTCTCTCTTTGGGACTGAAATAGCTTTACCTCTTTCCCTCAACTTGGACAACATTTACATAACTGCGCGTTTTCTATACACGAGACGCGCGAGTAACGGTTTTTTCAAAACCGTAATTGTTTCCTTAGCAAAACGCGTACTTTAAAAATCTCTTGAATTTGTTGACGGCAAAATCAAAACATTTCAAACTTCTTTTGCATTCCCGTTTAAAGCTGCAAGTATGGAAACAGAAAACATGTAGTGATGAATAAGCGAACTTTATTCCACTTAATATTCGGCCGGGCCCGACTTCTTCCGAATAGGGATCGGTGCACGCCACTAATACCGAAATAGTCCTGGTCGAATGGACAGCTTTCCAAACTACACCTAAGACTTCCTATTAGAATCCAGCTTGTTTTTTCGAGTTCGGCTTGAATGCACCAGGTGTAAGTATAAAGTTCGCTTTGCCGGAATACCCAAGATTCTAGACTACTTCAACGGGTTTCGCTTAGTATTTTTGTAGTTCGTAACAACATGAACCAGGCGGATTCCGTTTAAAGCAGAATCCAACTTCGATTATCTCAGATTAAACTGATAAAACAAATCTGTGAGGGGCCGCGACCACCACACCCCAACCCTACTCCCTAGAAATGAGGCATTCAGCTTCCAATTAGATGGTTACCGTTTAATAGATGTTGCCATAGAGGAGCTAGCATTGGGTTTGGTTGAAAGTTGTATTTCTTTTTCGAGTTCAAATACCAGCAGCAACTCACGTGCTCTAGACAGAATTCAAAAGAAAAGCTTACCCACAGAATGAGCGTCAGAGTAAAAATCAAAGAAGCTCGCAAAAGCAAAACACGCGCCCATGACAACAAAGTCTGCTTTCAAGCCAGTGCATTTAGAAAAAGCTGCCCGACAAAATACCCGAGATGACTGGTACGTTAAAAATCGTGTTTCTTTTAAACAATAAGAATACCAGCTCGAGTTTTCTATCACGCATAGAAATCGAGAGCGGATAATTTAATTGTCTTAGTATAAATCTGCCACTCGTTCAATATTTTATCTTAATACTCTTCACAGACACCTCGAAAGCTCAAAGAAACGGCCGTACTCACTATCTACAAAAGAATAGATGTAGGAGCCTGCGAACAGGCTCCCGATTAGGTTTTCAGGCCAGCGGAGCGAGTCGAGAGCGTAGGCTGGTATCTTTGCCAGAAAGAGAACGGCATTTCAAGTGATAGAAAGCTATTAGATTTAAACAAAAATTCGATAGCAAAACGGAAAGTGTTTTTTTACTTCATAAATGCAAACATGTAAAAATGTTTAAAATGGTATCGGTGCGTTATTTTGATCGCAGTATGAGACCAATGTGTAAATACTCTTTACTTAAGGTAATAAGCTTGAGCTTTCCTTTCATCGGGTCCAGCTGGGTGACAAAAACCAAACCATATCCTCGCCAGCCATTTATTGGAGTATAGGACAATACAAAATCACTCCTTGGTACGGCATGAAGGTGGCTGCGGCCGCTTAAACAGAGACTCTTCTAGAAACATTGAGGCTCGTTGAAATAAAATGTGTGATTATGTCACAACTTGAGTTTTCGCATACTGCCTATACTCTAAAGGAATTCTCGTGCACCGGGTTGGAATTCCTATGTGGCTTTCTCTCAGGCCTTCACAGTTGATTGAATTCGGTGACGTACAGAGACGATCAGACCACGTGACGCAACACGGATTGACCGCGCGCGGCGAAATGTAGGGGCCAAGGAACTAGGCAACACAAGGTCCGGCTTGTCGGGGCGCCGGAATTTACCGTCGCGAAGTCTCGAGAGTGTCCATTTCAGCGGAATCATTTACCGGAGTTCTATTTGACGCTGTTATCTTTTTTCCTTCGTCGTTTCCTCGCTATTGCCTTTAGCAACGCAGCAGCAAAAGGTAGCCACGATTGCCAACCTAAATGTTTTTACTATATCTTTCAAAGTTTCTTGATATTCCGTGTGTTTGAAGGCGTAAATAAACGGATCGCATGCACTATGTAGATAAATTGCCCAGAAAGACAACTGCCCGAGAAAATCGGGCGAATGTCCTAAATCGTTGGTTGTTAGGACCAAAAATACGAAAAATGGAGTCCTACATACTAGAAACGTTAAGACCACAACCGACATTGTCATGCACAACTTCGTTTCCAAGGTAACGGGCGCGCCCGCGACCGGCGCCGGTGATATCGATGACGTCACTGCCATGCGCGCTTGATGCTTGTGCAGCGCTCGCAAAATGCTGATGTAAGTAAAAATCATGAAGGTACAAGGAAGTAAATACCCGCAAAACATCATAGAAATGTTGTAGGAAATCTCTGCTTTGTCCGTGGTGTGGTAATACTCGCAGTTGAAGATGTTGGAGGTAAATTCATAGCGGCCCCAGTGTATCGCGGGCCCGGTGGCAAAGAAGATCGAAATAACCCATGCGCAAAGCACCATAATGAGGCACCGGAAGTTGGTTAGGGATTTGTTCATTGGCAGGACGACAGACACATACTGGTAAACACACAGAGAGCAGATGGTAAGCACACTGGCCATAGCAAAGAGCGTGTTAATGAAACCATTGAAATAACAGAAGGCTTTACCAATAGTCTGAAAAAGAAAAAAGTATATATCATTGGCCAATTTACAAACTTTTCTTATCGCTCTGATTAGCAGGCTAACCCGAACTTGCTAATTTATACATACTGCTTTTCTTTGCAGCAAAGCAGGTTGCTCATAGGCTACTCACGAAGAAATGTGAACGTGCCAGTCAATTATCCAATTAGAGTTTACACGCCAAGATTTGTCGGCCAGAAGCCTCTAGCTGTTTAATTTGATGAAGATTAGCCCTGCTTGGAATTGACCGTTACATGGCAACAGATTGTTAAAACTCGGCCTCGGGCAGATTTTCATCCATGCGCACATTTTCTGATCGAATTTAAGTGACTTCGGACCGACAAATTGTAGCGTATAAATTAGTCTCTTGCCTCTAGTTACTTGTAGACGCAATGCTGCTTATTGCTTTACCTTCAAGGAAGTCTACACTTCATTGCGTGTGTTCAGCCTGGGCAAGATAAGCAATTTATGCTTACAATGGCCCTAATCGCGCCTAACTTTTACCATTTGAATCAAAACGTAATGCAGCTGAGATGTATGGTAACTCCTGGCAAATTTGTTATTTTCCGCCTGAAATTGTCTGGCATACACTTTGAATTATCCATGAACTTTACAGCAACTAGTCGGGCTAAATTCGTTAAACATACCTTTTCATGGAACAAAACAGTAGCGACGGCAAAGGGCATGCAAGAGGCCGACATCCCAACATCGGCGATTGCTAGGTTCACCAAAAACAGATGGAGCTGATTCCTCATGGATCGATTCCAAAACACCACGAGACACACGGAAATATTGCCGAGAATACCTATTAGTGTAGTGATACCCAGTAAGATTCCTATAATTATAACAATACCGGATAGCGGCATACTGTGCAGAGGAAACGTCCGCGTTGTGAAGGGATGGCCTTGCGAGCCGGATAAACGACTTCTTTTAAAATTGGAAATGCTTTTGATTTTAATATCCAAGGGAAACGTCTCTTGCAAGTTAATTTCTTTGCAAGACTGTTTGGCATTCAGTATCTGCGTGACAACCAAATCAAGTATGTAAGATTTGTTACGGCCCGCTTTTCTTAATCAAGTTCCACTCGGTCAGCAAAGTTCAATCTGTCGCAGCATGCACCAGTTGCACAGGGGGTTTCCTCCACTCGCTGAAGAGTTTATCGTCGTTGATGTTCATTAATTCAAGTTACAACGCAAAATAACGGCCTTGCCTACAACGCGGTCATGAAGTGTTGCACCCAAAACACACGCGTTGATTTCCCAGGCAGAAGTTAAATAAAGATCTCACGAAACTTTATGTCGGTCGCAGACTTCCATCACTGAATATTTGACGCTCTAATCATGACCTTTAATACTAAAACGTCTTGGGTTTACTCATGTTGACCAGCTGCGGTTGCATCAAAAAATTTGTGATCCTTGCTTTGTCGCCACCATCGAATGTTTTTTCGAGTCTTCGGTCGAAACAATTACTGCAATGGCAGATTCTCCTCGTCGTGTACGGATTTTGAAGTCGATCTTTTCAGTAGACGGTTATTAGAATGTAAGTTACTGAGCGAAAAATTGTTTAATAGTGAGATGGGGAACTACCTGTAAACACCTGTTAACGCTAATTGTGATTCAAACTGGTTATATAGCTCTTGATTAACAATACGGGAAATAAAGAGCCGTTTTGCTTTGCTTTCTTAAAAGAAAACCGCATCACGTCATTTAAAATTAGCGGCACTGGCGAAAACAAATGAGCACTATTTTGATATCTGCAGCGATGGCCTGATAACCAAGGGCCTGGGTTACTTTTTTTTTCACATAGTATTCATAGCATTTACTTTCAACGTGTACGTTTACATAGTAACTTAGCATGCATCCCAAGTCCCCGTCAGGGACTGGGACATTTTTCTTTGCCCCACGCGCGTGACGACTAAAATTTCATCCTTTCAATTGTTTGATCAGTTCGCAGAACTTTTCGCGTAATAAAAGGAAGATAAATAGAAATGGAAACTTGTCTTCCTTTTCGTTGATTATGTTGGTTACAATAAGTAAGGCACAAGCTTCCCGGGGTATATATTTTCTTGGTACTTTACTGCAAAGGTAAAACAGTGCGGTATAGGGTGATTACCAGGGACCTTGAGGTCGATTTAAGAGCGCTGGAACGACTTTTAAATCCAATATGCGCATGCTCAAGATCATCACGCGTTTTGTCGGAGCTCAGTCAAGGTACTTTCAGTTATTTTGGCCACGTACAAAACTACTTTTAAATTGACGAAAACCTGAAAATAGCAGTTTACTAAGATAGAAAAACACCAAAGAGAAACTAATAAACCGTAAAAGAACAAGGATGGTTAAGGGTGGAAAAGATTAACACGGGTTACAAACGACAAACGTGAAAAATTTGGGCTAATCTTTTCAAGATCCGCAAACCTAGGGACCTACTTATTAAGACAAAGCCGTCAAAAAACAGAAAAAAAAACTTTCATTAACTTGAAGATTTTATTCTGTTAATCAGTGATACAAATACTACTGATGTTATGGTGCTATTTACATACACACGACGTCCACTTTTGAGTTGGTAACTATGCTCACGGGACTGCTCTTCATAAACGAGTTGTTCACTCTTTGAGACTTCGAGCAAAGATGAAGAGGATAACAAAAAGACTAGCTTTACTGTTGAAAGCGTTCATTGTGAACTACTGCCTTACAGGTCGGTGGAATTTATAATTTCAGACAACAAGCATTCTATCTCATGACAAAATCTACACGAACCACTCCGAATAACCAACTGGAACTAATTACTACTGGGTGAAAAAAGTTTCCTATTTGCATGAAAGAATTGGGATTTCTATTTCCTTACAGTAAACAACATTTAATAGATGCGCTATTCGTGTTAGTACAATGACTTAATCCAAAGATGAGATTTTAGCTCCAAGAACAATAGGCCACTTCCGAGATGCCATTTGTCAGTGTCTTCGTGCGAAACTATTGATGTGGAAATGTGTTCCGCCTACAGGTTCATTTTCTCAAATCAAATCAAACTCATTTTCATATGAAAGATTTTGCACGAAGACTCGTTTTGAAACAGAGGCACAAGATGACTAGGTAATGCCTATTTATTTCACAGTAGGCTTGATCAACAGAAGATCCGCCCGCGCTCAAGAACGCAGCAGTCTTCTTCTCCGGAAAGATTTTTTTTCTCATCCGGGAGACTAGAAACTGAGGCTAAACTAGACAGCGGACTTTAGGAACCATCCAAGAAGCGGTCAGAATTCCATGCATGACCCCATGAAACGTCCTGAATATCTATGATCAACCCCGTAACTCTGAAATTAATAATTAGGGTTAGGGTTGGGGTCATTCATAGGTCGGGGTCATACATGGAATACTAACCCAAGAAGCTTCCCTTCAAAGCAAGTTTTTCACGAAACGAACCTACTGGTATCAAGTTTTGAAAGATGAACTAAGCAATGACTCGACTCCCAACATTAATAGCAGACTAACACGCGAAGTTTTGAATAGAAACAGCAAGATTCACAAACAGCTGCTGGATACTACAGCGATTGATGTACACAAATTGGCAGGAAGTGCTGAAGAGAGAGAAAAACATAAAAACCAGTTACACAGTATATGATTCAAACTAGTAAACTTACCGAGCTAAAACAGTGCGAATACCATGCCAACTGAATCATCACTGTCATCGATCCATGTGTTGTAGTTTTGGGTCAGAATGATTTCAAACCAGTTTAATTTTCGTCAAAGGGGAGGGAGGGGGGAGAAGTCTCGGTCTGTGGATGTCGCGATGTTTCAATGTATCGCTTAAGATAGGCATTGACCTGTTTCGCAGCGAACATAAGCGTAAGCAAATGTCTCCCTACACAGTAAAGGAAACCGACTTCTTTTGTAAGCTGCCCATTTCAAATCACATGACGCCCTCTAATAAAGAAATGGTCCTTTCTCATTTTGAAATTACTCACTCCTTTCCACGGAGAAAGGTTTGAACCTGAAAGAAATAATCCTCACTGGTTTGAGATAGGACAACAAACAAATGATAAGGGTCAAGTGGACATCCGCCTTACAACCTTACTCGGTCATTAACTTATTTTAAGAGCCCTTTTAAATCAGCCAGAATTTATGGCCAGAAGTGGTCGTGTTAACGGGGTACCAATATACCTTAACTAATGTTTTAATTGGAACAGCTCCCTTAGAGATTTCGATCCAATGGTCGCGACGTTTCCTTGTAGCAAACACACCAAAAAAATCGCACTTACCATTGAATCTCCCTCAGAAAACACTTTGGCCAGCGGATTCATCGGCCTGTGGTGCCAGTCCCCCGCTGCTACCACGCGGTCATGACCAGCCGTCATGTAAACAGAAACTTCCATATCGAGTAGCGCATCTTGAGCCAAAGTTTTCGGTAATCTACGGGACGCCGAAGTCGTTGGTCGAAAGGCACTTGGAATAATCTCGGGACCATTCGGTTCCCAGCGAAATTGTGCGTTAGCCCCACCACTGAATGGTACGGTCCTCTGAGTAACGCCGCCAGGATTCAAAGACGACACTGCCGACCTAAGGGAAAGACTCCTGTTGTCAGATGGGACGTGTTTATAAACGTGTACTTTTGGAGTCGGTGACACGACCTGAACTGGACGATTGTCTGGTCCTTTTGAAGTTACTTCCTTACTTGTGGACGCTGGGCTTTCCACAGGACTTGTGCTTGAAGCAGAAGTAATGCGAGGTTCTCTGGATGTATCCGCACGATGTGACACCTTCAGTGGTATGGGCGCTATGCGGGGGGCTGGATTAATCTTTGAGTACTTTGTAAATGAAGAACGTTGACGAGGTGTACTCCATGTACCAGTTCTTTCGACGAGAGGAGCGCTATTTTCAGATACACCTTGGCGGCTAAATGAAGGAGTGGAATTGAAAGGTATCGGAGGTGCCTCTCTAGAGGTCACTAGCTCCCTTTCTCTCGACGTAAAAGAGCTCGTGTGCAAAGTATTGGAGATGTTTGTCCTAGACTCTTTTGAGGGCTTAGGGAGCGCAAATCGCACTGCCGGAGAGTAGCTTGGGCATTGTTCAAAGCTCGAGTGTTGGTTGATACTCGTCGATGTTGCATTACACGAAGATCTGGACGGATCAAGAACGCCTTCCGCTGGCCGGTGTATTGTAACCGACTGCAAGGTGCTTTTCTCATGTGCCACACTTCTGGACGAATCCACCCAAGTGTTAAACAACAGCGAGGGCATAACATCACTGTTCTCTTGAATCGTGGTACACGAGGCAGCAACTGAGTCTTTGTGAAACTCGTCGGTGATTTTAAGCAGGCCTAGATCTTCGAGTGCTTGACGTTCTAGAAATGCGACATCGTCCTCTTCCTGAGAGAGAAGGAAAACAGACAAGAACGACAAAGTCAATTCAAGAATTGCGTCTTGCAAAGAGAGCTTTTTTCCTTAAGGCGCCGAAACGGGAGTCGAACTTTCAGTTAAGATCGTCATTGGTAATTAGTCTCAACTTTCCATTTACTTCCTTCAGTTTGTCCCTTTTTGAGCAGTTTTCAGTTGAATGGGAGGCGCGATGGTCTCATGGTTAGTGCGCTCGTCTCCGTATCGAGAAGTCCGGGTTCGAGCCCTAGCCGGGGACATTGAGTTGCGTTCTTGGGCAAGACATTTTACTCTCCCAGTGGCTCTTTCCACACAGGTTTATAAATGGGTACCGGCGAATATAATGCTGAGGGGTAACTGCGCTGGACTAACATAACTAACGGGGAGTAGAAATACTCCTAGTCGCTTCATGCTACAGAAACCGGGGTAAGCTCCGGCCTGGTGGGCCGCTTGGCTCTATGCAGACTTTATATCTTTCAGTTGAGTGTCGTTAAACCAAATTTAAAGTAATCACTCTGACCAATTACAAATTACACAGACAATCCAGTGAACCAATCAAAACTCAAAGCAAATACATGTAGCCGACGAAAAGCGCGGGAAAACGTGAGCGAGCGAGTCACGATTGGTTTTGATTTTACTTCTGATTTGACTGATTTTCCTTGCCTCAAAAATAATATAATTATAATAATGATTATCAAACCTCTACTGTAGTGAGTTTGAAAAGTTCCTTTCCAGAGCCATCTTTCCGCTGAGGTGTTAAGAACTCGTCCATTGAACAAGAGTCCTGGGTGGTATCGACGGCGGGCTGGAAACTGGTAATTTGAACCGTGGAACATCGAAGCCTGGGTCCGAGGTCTTGGATCGCATCTCCACCTTGCTTGGAGGTAAAGACGTCTGCTATTGGATGTTGCTGTCGGTGAGTTGAACTAGGGTCCTCGGTCACTGGCAAATTTTGCCTCAGAGGGGTAACTAAGGGATCGTTGAAGGAATGAGCTGCCATGTTTTGAGCAGCAACGTTTTGTCTTGTAACTCGCTGTGGAGTAAAAATCTCTGACCAAAGCGGTGGCTGGTCCGAGCTGAAAGACTGGGAAACAAGAGCACCTTGTTGCACTGGGGTGGTGAAAGTTCTCGCAGGGAGCTGGAAACTAGGACCAGGGACGTGGGAACATTCCGGCGGAAGGTCTGATCTAGGACCCTGAGAACCAGTCTGAGATTGACGGGCGGGTGTTGCCATGGTGTCATGATTGCGCTGCAAATCTACGGTCAAGGCACTGTGTTGTTGCTTAAATTCAACTAACGGCTGCCGTATAGAAGACGAGGAATTTGCAAAAGTCGAGCGAACATGCTCTTGTGCTATAGCGGCGCTTTGGGTTTCAAGTAGTAGTCTTTGTGGCGTACAAATATCCTCCTGAGGACCCTGCTGTTTTGCAGGAGTTCGCAATGGTTCGAGAGAAGGTTGCAGACGAGTTGCTTGTATTGCAGATTCCTGGACGCGAGCGCTACGCTGAGGTGTGAAAATTTCTGCCCAACTTGGCTGATCTCTGGCAGAGGAAGGCTGGGCACTTGACACCAGTTTTCGCCCGGGTGTCAACAGAGGATTGTTACTCGCAGTCTGGAGGCCTGGTTCAGGTTGTCCTGTTGGGAACTGTCTGGCTCCCAAACCCACCATAGGTTCGTTCTCTGTATGCATACAAGATGAAATACTCACAAATAGGAACAAACAGAGGTCTCGCAATTAGTCTATTACGAACTGACGACTAACAATCATCTTTATTTGACGAAAAAAACAAACAAACAAACAAA